AGGTAGTATGTGGTCTGGTTGAAACCATCTGCAGATGTTAGTGTCCAGCTCAAGTCTTTACCACTGAATCCAGGCAACTGCCATGAGGCAGTGGTTCGAGGGGCCATGGGAGAAGGCTTCATTGAGGAAAAAGTTCTGGGGCCAGGGAAAGTTATCCAGAGCCAAACTTGCAAGAAATCATGCTACAGAGATACCCATCAGGAAGGGCCAAAAGGATCTGCAGCTCTTAACAGCATGAGAGACCAAGAGTAGCACAAGAAAGGACTTACCAGGGATGGGGCAAAGTTATTACACAAAAGGATCTGAATGGGGTGGTGGGCCAAACTCATGGAAGAAGAATGGATATGAAATTTTTTGGGGGCACAATTGTCGGCAATATTGTAGTAAGAGAAGCCCGTTCCCCCCGACCCCCCAGGGCAGAAGATCAAAGTTTGAATTCTTCTACCACTATGAGATCTCAGGCAGTTAGGGAACCTCTCAATTCTACAAACCTTCCTCATCTGTAAAACAAGGGGGTTGGCACACACCACATCCCTGCACTAATAGTCCAGGTGACTATTATTCTAATTGCATTGTTGTCGTAGGATTTTGATTATCGGCACATACTTTATTTGTTAGCTTTTACAGTTGGTCTTTCTAAAAAGGTTGACCTGTTCATTTGCACGCTGACAGTCACACCTGTCTTGGAACAGTAGACATTCTGCATTTGGGTGATTTCTGCCCCAGGGCATTAAAGTCAGCAAGGCAGGCACTCAGGACAAGGGTTAAGTGCTGGACCCAAGGACACATGAACAAGAGCAGCAGGGTCTGGACTCTGCATGGCTTAGTGCTTTCCTTGACAATAGATACACTGCCTTAGAAGAGACTGACATTAGCTCCAAGGAAGGACTTCCAGGAGAGTCACTGAAGCCCTAGCGTGGTTTTAAGAGAGGGGACATAATGCTTCTGAGGACTCTGGGTCAGAGAGTTTGAGATCCTGGGTCTTGGTGCTGGGACCGTCCCTTCTCTCGCACTCTGGTCCTACAAGAAGAGGTTCTCAGGCTCTGCCTCTGTGTGGCAGGTGCGCTTCCTGGAGCAGCAGAACAAACTACTGGAGACCAAGCTGCAGTTCTACCAGAACCGCCAGTGCTGCGAGAGCAACCTCGAGCCCCTGTTCAATGGCTACATTGAGACGCTGAGGCGGGAGGCCGAGTGCGCAGAGGCTGACAGCGGGAGGCTGTCCTCGGAGCTCAACAGCCTGCAGGAGGTGCTGGAGGGCTACAAGAAGAGGTGAGTGTGGGAAGGGGCCGGCTCTGAGAAGGGCTTGAAGGTGGCTCCCAGCACAGGGGAGCGTCCAGACCTGCGCCTGGGTCTCTGCCTGAGGATCAGGAAGAGCCTGTGCCCTCTGCCCCTCCTCGAGGCACATGGGTTCCGTGGATGGGTCCTGGCCCCCTGGGGACGGAGCTCAGCTTGACTTCTACCAGCAGGTCAGGGAAATGATGTTCTCTCCCTTTCTTCTACCCATAGATCCTTCTCTTAGGACCCCAGACAAACTAACATTGCTGATGCCTTTGAGTCTAGCTTTCAAAGTCCTGGACCTTCTTCTGAAGTTCACTCCTTCATTCTGCTAACACTTTTTGAGCACCTACCAGGCACCAGGCAGATCTGGACAGGGTGCTAGCAATCCAGGGCCGAATGCTATACCCAGCTCATGTTTTTGTGGGGCTTACAGTCCTCTGGTAGGCAGAGATGGCAGAGTCACAGACAGAGACCTCCGATGACAAAGAGTGACACAGAATACAAAGGCACACACTGGATTCTCTAAAGGAATCTAGTTTCCAGAGCAGGCCACCTTCCTTCAGTTACACTCTCAGCCATGCTCTGCCAGGCCACCGTGCTCCCTGTCTCTGGCTCTGAGCAGGGCTGCCCACAGCGAAGGAGGAAGCAGCAGGCTCCACTTCTCTCGTCTGAGCCAGGAGGAGGATGACAGAGGGGAGATCCTACCACCTGTAGCAAAGCCAGTGGCAAGGGGAGGAGTCAGAGGAAAGGGAAATGCAGACCTGGGTGAGAAAATAAGTCACCTCCCAGCCCCAGCCACACACAACACACACACGCACACACGCACATGCACACACATGCACACACACAGCTTCTAGATCCTGCCCCCGCCCCCCCCACCTCCCCACCCCACTGAGGAGCTCAGAGGTGATGTGAAGGTGGGTGTTTCAATAGTCCCGTGTATCCCAGGAGGCCTGCACCAACCACCTGGTTCCTCCCTGGTCCCACTGCATTTCTTTTGGAGACGGAGAAATGAGCTGGGCAGGGGGCTGGGGTTGGGAGTGGGGAAGGAACTAGGACAGGCTTGTTTGCTTGCATGCTTCATGGCCAAGTTGAGAGTTTCTCAGAAGGGGCCCTGTCTTCATATCCCTCAGGTATGAAGAAGAAGTTGCTCTTCGGGCCACAGCAGAGAACGAGTTTGTGGCTCTAAAGAAGGTAAGTGCCTGAGCCAAGCCCCTCCCTCAGCCCCTGGCCACCCTGTCCTCTCTGTCCTACAACGATGCAGCCAAGCCCGCAGAGCGCCCTTGAATCTCACGACCCCTTGAACCCCACACAGGATGTGGACTGTGCCTACATTCGCAAGTCGGACCTGGAGGCCAACTCGGAGGCCCTGATCCAGGAGATTGATTTCCTGCGGCGGTTGTATGAGGAGGTGAGATGGTTCTCGGTCCTGGTGGGCATCCCTGAGCCCCTGTCCAGCCCCCCTCACTGGCCAGCTGATGCAGGAATACAGGCTGAGATTGAAGGGTTAGGCAGAGGAATGGAGAAGCAAAACGGGATAGTAATTCTGCCCCTGTAAGGGGCACGGAAGGGTGATGACCTCTAGGACAGCTGTGCCTTGGGAAACCAAAGCCCAGGCACAAAACTTCACCACATTTTCTCTAGTTCAGATTTTCTCTGGCAGCCAGGAGCCTGTGGCTGGTCCATGAGAACAAGAAATGGGTCCCCACACAAGGGCCTGGACCCCAAGGAAGTGTCCCCAGCATGCTAGCTGCAGGGACAAGATTTACAGGGGCCTGAAAAATCCCCAAAGCAAACATTTGAGAAGTAATTGCACTTTTTTCTAAATGGGATTTCTTATCTGTAGGGAAAGTGATGCAATTTCATCAGGGAATTGTCTGCTCCAAACGGGACTTTGGCTCCAGATGGACTAAAGAGATTATAGCCATTGGCTGGTGAGGAAAAGCTCAGATAACTTGCTTATACTTCCTCTTTCCTGACTCCCGATCCACAGGAGATCCGTGTTCTCCAAGCCAACATCTCGGACACCTCAGTCATTGTCAAAATGGACAATAGCCGGGACCTGAACATGGACTGCATTGTCGCCGAGATCAAGGCCCAGTATGATGATGTCGCCAGCCGCAGCCGGGCCGAGGCTGAGAGCTGGTACCGCAGCAAGGTGAGTGGTCCAGGACACCTGCCTCCTAGACACAGCAGTGGTAGGGACTTGAGATATATAATTAGAAAAACCTTTTTTTTCCCAGGGATTCTGATCCCTAAAGATGATAACAGAAGGGCAGACAGTTCTCATGTTATAGTGGCAGGACAGAGTCACCATGTATGGTTACACAGGCTGAGCACTGGACAACCTGCAAATCATCCATGTTGTCCTGAGTGGGTGGAATGTCACATGCTGAGCTTCATGAGCCTTTCTGCTTCCCTCCAGTGTGAGGAGATCAAGGCCACAGTGATCCGGCATGGGGAGACCCTGCGCCGCACCAAGGAGGAGATCAATGAGCTGAACCGTGTGATCCAGAGGCTGACGGCTGAGGTTGAGAATGCCAAGTGCCAGGTAGGGAGTGTTTGAGGCCCACCCAGGATCCCACCAGCAGTGTGTGTGCCCAACTGGATCTCACCATTCACTCTCCAGCCCATTTGGATGACTTGAGTCCTTGGTTATGGCCACTCAGGGAACCCTAGGTGATAAAAGGGAAAGGTCTGTTCCTGGGGTGATCTCATGTGGGTGGAGAGACTGGACACATCCAGGAAATGGACACAGAGACCCAGAGGCCATAACCCACCTTGTTCTCTCCTGGGCCCTTAGAACTCCAAGCTGGAGGCTGCAGTGACCCAGGCAGAGCAGCAGGGCGAGGTGGCCCTCAATGATGCCCGCTGCAAGCTGGCCGGGCTAGAGGAGGCCCTGCAGAAGGCCAAGCAGGACATGGCCTGCCTGCTCAAGGAGTACCAGGAGGTGATGAACTCCAAGCTGGGCCTGGACATTGAGATCGCCACCTACAGGCGCCTGCTGGAGGGAGAGGAGCAGAGGTGAGGATCATCTCGGTTGCCCCATGAATTCCACTTGCACAGGTCTGCCCACTTCTGATTTTCCCTCATCCTAGTCTCAGTCCTAAGAACTGGTCCCAAGCTAGACTCTGAGGTCCTTGAAACCCATATCTTGAAGGACTAGAACATGGTCAATAGCATACAGAGAGGAAATGAAGGCCAGTGCCACTGCAATGTTCAGAGTCCCAGAGAGCCCAGGGCCTTCCCAGATTTAGAACCTAGGTGCCCTACCTCCCAGTTCAGAACATCCTCAAATTATTCCATCTTCAGCTCTTGCAAGATCCACTCCCTGCCAGGTTTCTTGGCAGTCATCCTGCCCCAGGGTGGAGATGCTGACCAAACTCTGATCCTGGCCTCATGTGACTCCCCAAAGGAAACTTCCCCTTCCTAAAGCTGAGCCCAGCCAGGTACGCCAGGTATTGTTGCTCTAGCTGTGCACTGCACAAAAGCAGCCAACTGAGGGGCAAGTGAGGCTGAAATTCAACATATTCTCTGTTTGCTAAATAGTGTGCCCTGGCATTGCTGTAACTGCCAGAACATCACTTTATAAAAGTTAACACAAGGGCATAAATATAGGCCAGAAATAGCCCATTTGACCCATCCCACGGCACCCAGGGGAAACTTGGAGATCTTATTCTAACCTGTTTTCTCTTTCCCTTTTTCACCTTTTCCCTACTCAGGCTATGTGAAGGCGTTGGAGCTGTGAATGTCTGTAAGTATTCTGAGACATGAAAAGGAAAATTCTAGCTTGGGCAACAAGAGTTTCCTGGCTATGAGTGTATAGAGATACCAGGAGGAGTGTTTCAAGTAATTCCCTCAGTAAATGGGAATAGGTTGGTCATACAGTAGGTGAGACTGAGGTTAGCTAACAGGAAGAACCTAACAGCATGAATGAGATTGGAAAAAGATCACTGCAGGAAGGGACCTCAGATGTCACACAGTACAACCCTCACCTTGTATAGTGAGGACACGAAGGCCCAGAGCAAGGAAGGGACTTGTCCAAGGTCACAAAGGAGATCCAGGGCCAGAAGCCAGGGCTCCTGACTTGCAGGCCAAGTTTCTGTCCACACCTTCAGAACACCAACTGAAGGCCCTTTGTGTCCTTCCTGAGAGGGTTGAACAGATAAGAGAGGCCAGAGGAAGGTGGCCAGATGCGGTGGCCACTAGCAGGCCTCCTGACACCGTCCTTGTCCCCGCAGGTGTCAGCAGCTCCCGCGGCGGGGTCGTCTGCGGGGACCTCTGCGTGTCGGGCTCCCGGCCGGTGACCGGCAGCGTCTGCAGCGCCCCCTGCAGCGGGAACCTGGCGGTGAGCACCGGCCTGTGCGCGCCCTGCGGCCAGCTCAACACCACCTGCGGAGGGGGTTCCTGCAGCCTGGGGAGGTGCTAGGCGGCCCCCCCAGGGCGAGCCAGAGAGGCCCCTCGGCCTGCCAGAAGTGCCACCGCCCCCACTGCTGGCTGAGAAGAGCAGCGCCTCGGTAGCTGTCCCCTTCGTGTTCTGAGAATACACCACGCCCTCCTTCCCATCAGCCTCTGCTCTGCTCGTCTTGTCGCACCGGAAGGGGATGCCGCCTGGGGAGGGACTCCTCCCTTCCGCTGTCTTGGCCTCTGGCCTCGCCCAGGAAGAAGAGCGCTCCTTCCCATGTCCCCTAACTCTCTGGCCTCTTGTCCCCTCCCCCCCCCCACCCCCCTTTTCTCCAATAAACCGAGGGACCCGCTTTCTGTGCTGTGATGTCTGACTTTCTGGGAGTGAGCCCCACCCACCGACGGGTGAGCACCCCAGCCCCGGGAGAAGGCTGAGGACTGGAGTGCTTCTGGCCTGCCCTCAGCCTGCTCCTGCAGGGCCTGTCCCCGAACTCTGCCGGCCTCCCCCTGGCCAGGCAGTGCTGACCTTCCTCCTCAGTCTCACCTCTGGGTCTGGGGTAGCGGGGGACTTATTCCTCCGACAGGTTTTGAAGAGACCCAAGGGAGGGCACAGGAATCCGCTGGAAGGCTGTGTATGTGTGTGTTCGTGTGTGTGTGTGTGTGCACTTGCGTGCACATTTTAGCCCCCTTCCCACCCACCGTGCTTTCTGGGCACACCTTCATTCTGCTCTCCCACCTCCAGCACACAATGCACCACAGCAGTAACTGTCACAAGGGCCAACAGCCACCTCAGGGGGCCACCCTGTGTCAGCCCAGACCCCACCCCGCCTCATCCCCATTGCTGTCCATCAAACAAGGGGAGATGAGACCCTTGACACTGGCCCCTCCCCCATACACACCCCTCCTCAGCACCTGGAACAGCCTCCCAGAAACACCCTGTAGCTGGTAAGAGGATTCTGTCTACTGACTCTCCCAACCGCCCCACTCACTGCCCTCACCCCCATATACCTTCAATTCGGAGGCTAAGATGGCTCCCCTGCCCCCTGTGTGGCCTGACCTTGCATGTCCTCTGTTCAGGAAGTGTCTGGGAGGTCTGAGGAGGAAGACTTTTGAGGCGCCCCAGCCCCATTCTGGAAGTATCAGACCTGTAGTAACCCCTCTCCCGTGTTGCCCATTTCCCTCCCACTGGCCCGCTCCTTCTCTGTCTTTGCCCTGCCTTATCCCAGAGCCCAGCGCTGGTCCATCCTCAGGCCCTGACCTTTCTACCCAGCTCACCACACTGTCTCGGGAGGACCCAGAACCTTCCTTCACTCCCTCCTAGAGTCTAGGGTCCATTTGGCTCCTCACCCAAGTCCTTCTGCTCCCCGTTGCCCTCACCCCCTTCCCCTCTCTTGAACCCTGAGTCTCTGGCCTTTCACTTCCTTGTTCTGCAGGCCAGGCTCTCAGCTCTTCCTTGGCTCACTTCCCTCACCCAGACAAACTCACCCTCAAGCGTGAAAATGCCTCAGGGCCCTTCCCTCACCACTCCAAGCACCCTCCCTGGACAATTACTTCCACCCCTTGCCTTCCATTCCCACCACGGTTAACATCCTCCCTGGTTCAAATCCTCCAGCCTGAGTCCCTGTGGCTCTCCCCTGCCCTGACCTCACTCCGTGGCTTCAGAACCACTCACCCCAGTTCCTCTAAGACCTCTCCACTTGGCTGTCCTGGAGACTCTTCCAACCCAACAGATCTTCCAGCCGAACTCACTACTCCTCATTCCCTCCACTAGGGTCTCCTCCTGCCTCACCTGTCAAGATCATCATCACAGTTGCCCAAATCTGAGCCTCTATGATCTGTCCAGGCCTGAACTCTCCCCTTCAAAACCAAATAACCCCTAAGTGCTCCCCTTTCTACCTCCTAAGTATTCCTCTCATCCATCTTTTTCCTCTCTCTGCTGCTGCTACCATCCACATTTCGGCCACCACCATCTTGATTGGAGATCTGCTGGCCTCCCCTTCCAATCTACGCTGCAGCAGACAGAGACAGCTTTCCAAAACACAAGTCTGACCTTTCAGTGGATGAAGTCAAGACTCTTGACCATGACGTGCCAGTCCTGTGTATCTGGCTGTGACCCATCTCTCAGTGTCTCTCGTCACTCCCCTACTCCGACTTGGGAGCCCTGAACACCTTTTAAATGAGAGCTGACTTTTACACAGCAAAGGATACCATAAGCAAAATGAAAAACCAACCCTCAATAGGAGAAAATATTTGCAGATGAAGTACTAACAAAGACTTAATCTCCAAAAACTACAAGCAGCCCATGCAGTTAAATATAAAAAAAAAAAATAGACAACCCAATCAAAAAATGGGTGGAAGAACTATATAGACATTTCCCCAAAGAAGACATACAGATGGCCAACAAAAACACATGGAAAGATGCTCAACACTACTAATCCTTAGAGAAATGCAAATCGAAACTGCAATGAGGTATCACCTCAAATGGGTCAGAAAGGCCATCATTAAAAAATCTACAAAAAAAAAAAATCTACAAACAATAAATGCTGGACAGGAGGTAGAGAAAAGGGAAGCCTCCTACACTGTTGGTTGAATGTAAGTTGATACAGACACTATAGAAAATATGGAGGCTCCTTAACAAAATTAAAAATAGAACTACCATATGACCTAGCAATCCCACTACTGGGCATATACCCAGAGAAAACAGTAACTCAAAATGACACATGCACCTCAATATTCATAGCAGCACTATTTATAATAGCCAGAACGTGGAAATGACCTAAATGTCAACCAACAGAGAAATGGATGAAGATACGGTACAAATATATCATGGAATATTACTCAGCCATAAAAAAGAAGAAAATTGGGTCATTTCTAGAGGCATGGAGGGGCCTTTCAGTTCAGTCTCTCAGTCATATCTGACTCTTTGCAACCCCATGGACTGCAGCATGCCAGGCCTCCCTGTCTATCACCAACTCCCAGAGCTTGTTCAAACTCATGTCTACTGAGTCAGTAATGCCATCCAACTATCTTGTCCTCTGTCTTCCCCTTCTACTCCTGCCTTCAATCTTCCCCAGCATCAGGGTCTTTTCAATGAATCGGTTCTTCGCATCAGGTGGCCAAAGTATAAGAGCTTCAACTTCAGCACTAGTCCTTCCAATGAATATTTAGGACTGAATTCCTTTTGGATTGACTTGTTTGATCTCCTTGCAGTCCAAGGGGCTCTCAAGAGTCTTCTCCAACACCACAGTTCAAAAGCATCAATTCTTCAGTGCTCAGATTTCTTTATGGCCCAACTCTCACATCCATACATGACTACTGGAAAAACCACAGCTTTGACTAGATGGACCTTTGTTGGCAAAGTAATGTCTCTGCTTTTTAATATGCTGTCTAGGTTGGTCATAGTTTTTCTTCCAAGGAGCAAGCCTCTTTTAATTTCATGGCTGCAGTCACCATCTGCAGTGATTTTGGAGCCCAAAAAATAAAGTCTGCCACTGTTTCCATTGTTTCACTATTTCCCATGAAGTGATGGGACTGGATGCCATGATCTTCCTCTTTTGAATGTTGAGTTTTAAGCCAACTTTTTCACTCTCCTCTTTCACTTTTATCAAGAGGCTCTTTAGTTCCTCTTCACTTTCTGCCATAAGGGTGGTGTCATCTGTGTATCTGAGGTTATTGATATTTCTCCCAGCAATCTTCATTCCAGCTTGGGCTTCATCCAGCCCAGCATTTCATATGATGTACTCTGCATAGAAGTTAAATAAGCAGAGTGACAGTTTACAGCCTTGACATACTCCTTTCCCAATTTGGAACCAGTCCATTGTTCCATGTCCCTTTCTAGCTTTTGCTGATTGACCTGCATACAGATTTCTCTGGAGACAGGTAAGGTTGTCTGGCATTCCCATCTCTTTAAGAATTTTCCATAGTTTGTTGTGATCCACACAGTCAAAGGCTTTGGCATAGTCAATGAAGCAGATGTTTTTCTGAAATTCTTTTGCTTTTTCTGTGATCTAGTGGATGTTGGCAATTTGATCTCTGGTTCCTCTGCCTTTTCTAAATCCAGCTTGAACATCTGGAAGTTCACAGTTCATGTACTGTTGAAGCCTAGCTTGGAGAATTTTGAGCATTACTTCACTGGTGTGTGAGATCAGTGCAACTGTGTGGTAATTTGAACATATTTTGGCATTGCCTTTCTTTGGGATTGGCATGAAAACTGACCTTTTCCAGTCCTGTGGCCACTGCTGAGTTTTCCAAATTTTCTGGCATATTAACTTTAACAGCATCATCTTTTAGAATGGACCCCAAGACTGTCATACAGAGTGAAGTAAGTCAAAAAGAGAAAAGCAAATATTGTATATTAATGCATACATGTATGGATGTGAGAGTTGGACTATAAAGAAAGTTGAGTGCTGAAGAATTGATGTTTTTGAACTGTGGTGTTGGAGAATACTCTTGAGAGTCCCTTGGACTGCAAGGAGATCCAACCAGTCCATCTAAAGGAGATCAGTCCTGGGTGTTCATTGGAAGGACTGATGTTGAAGCTGAAACTCCAATACTTTGGCCACCTGATGTGAAGAGTTGACTCATTTGAAAAGACCCTGATGCTGGGAAAGATTGAGGGTAGGAGGAGAAGGGGACAACAGAGGGTGAGATGGTTGGATGGCATCACCGACTCAATGGACATGAGTTTGGGTAAACTCCAGGGGTTGGTGATGGACAGGGAGGCCAGCATGCTGCCATTCATGGGGTAATAAAGAGTCAGACATGACTGAGTGACTGAACTGAAACTGAATGCATACATTTGGACTCTAGACGAGTGGTATAGATAATCTTATTTGCAAAGCAGAAATAGAGACACAGATGTAGACAACAATTGAATGGCTTCCAAGGGGGAAAGGGGCTGGGTGGGAGGAATTGAGAGATTGGATTGACACATATACACTATTGATACTATGCATAAAACAGACAACAGATGGGAACATACTGTACAGCACAAGGAACTCCACTTCTCGCATTATGATGTCCTAA